TTTCTGGTGCTTTCACTTCCAGAGACAGTTTCAAGCACTGTGTAACTGCCTCGAGGGTGCTTGACCATTTTAACACAACGTGGTGCGATCATCCCCCTTGCGCGGAGTGAGGGTTCTCGACCCCGCACAACATGATCTACTCGACTACCATTATGGTTACCGCAAAAAAATAACAGAGGTAAAAAATAACCGGTAACCTGGTTGCCGAGTTCACGAAGTGCATTGGCTTGCTTACCACGTCGTTGTCAAGCGACGAAAACCCAATCCCGATCGCAAACACCGATGGGGGGCCTTGTTTTACACCGTCGTTGCCAAGCGACGAAAACCCAATCCCGATCGCAAACACCGATGGGGGGCCTTGTTTTACACCGTCGTTGCCAAGCGACGAAAACCCAATCCCGATCGCAAACACCGATGGGGGGCCTTGTTTTACACCGTCGTTGCCAAGCGACGAAAACCCAACCCCGATAGTAAACACAATCTGGGGAGGGGATGAAAAATATTGACCCCGCTGAAACCGGCGGCGTGAGTTTTGTACTTGTTTTAGTTTTGTGCAGGGGGCAACAAGTGTGTATACAAACCCTAACCGGATAAGGTGGCCACCCTAGCCCTACCCTAACCCTAACCCTAATCGGAATTTCCCGGAAGGTATGCACACGAAGGCTTTGTAAATTGACGCAGCAGAAGATATGGAAAAAACAAACAACGCAGCCAATTACATTTGAAAACGTTGCCGAAAATCGCCGAAAAGGGCTCTCCGGCAAGCTCGCCTTCAGATTTTTTCATCGCCGTTTTTCACCGAAAACGGTTCTTGTGCGACAGCAAAATGCACGCATCTCTTTTTCATGGATCACCGAAAAAACAAAACATATAGTCTATGGCCGGTGGAGTACACGCCTAACGATGGGTTAGCTGATGCCTTTCGTAACACCGGGTAACTAGTCGTCGACGCATGTTTCCCAACCGCAGGTACTGCTGCTGTAGGTGTAATCTAAGCCGCTTTTGGGTACTGTAGAGCCTTGGGTCCCCGGGGGTAAAGGTCTGTCCGTCATGAAATGTACGTGAATGCATACCCGCGTTCAACCATGGTGACGGGAAAACTTCCTTTCATGCCCTTCGAAACGTTGTACGCCCGCAACGCCACCCCCATCAGCGCACACTACAGCGCACGGGCGTAGAGGTGGTGGGCCGCCTCCTGAAAGGGTCTCGCGACAGAGAGGCATTTGAGCAGAGGTGAGGAGGGTAACACATGACGCGGGGCAACCATTGTGACCTCCTCCCACTCGCTCTTGTGTGGTCAGACGTGAGTCATGCTTTTTTCACGCCCACGACAACAAGAGGAAAACACACGAAGATTCGGGAGGACTCTGAACACCCTCCAACACGGTGGGAGGCGACTATGTCTACTGTACTGTATGCTGCAGTAGCTACTGTAGGCGAGGGTGCTTCGGGCCCTCTCACTCTTGACATTCTGGCCTCCAAAGGGAAATGCACGACAGTTGTTGGCCCTGATGCGGGTGGGATGCTGCAGGACACCAGAACGAGGAAGAGAGTTCATGATCATGATCGTTCACAACATTGTGGTGCATTGTGGTGCATTGTGGTGCGTGGTGTGTGTCTCGATAGAACGCTGCTAGCGTTAGCATAAACTGCTGCTGCTGTAAGTTACAAAAGCTTGGCGCTCTCAACCCTCTCGTCATCAGCGAACTCAGAATGTATTCATGTAGAGTAGCGGCGGGTATTAAAGGCCACTTAAGCTACCCCCTGTGCACAGAGCTCGTTCTTGAGCAGGAAAACGAATTTCGATGATATTGTGGTATCGAGCGATAGGTAAGATCACCCCCCGCCT